TAAATTTTAACAGAATTTTGTCTCCGATCATGCTTGTTATTGTTTTGAATTGATATTTATTTTATTGACATGAAACCAAATTTGGAATTATTGTGCGTTCTATGTGATTCTACATTTCTTCATAGGATAACCATTAGATATCTACATTCTTTACTACAATAGTACAAATTCTAGATAGATTTTATTTCAAGATTTTTAATTTTTTTTTCAGATCGCAATGGATATTGAAACAATTCTTTTCTCATAGGGTACCTAACCAAATAGTAGTTTTTAGAAAAAAATTCAAGTTTCTCTAAACGATTTGAATGAAAATTTAATTGAATAACGAAACCATAACCATTGTTATATACACGAAAATGGGAAGGGGGCTGCAATAAACGCATCAAATTTATTTTCGTTATCGAGAAACATGCCAAAATAGATATTATTTCTATATTTCATTTTTCTCTATTTCTATTACTCTTCTCTAAAATCTTTTTAAGAATTTCTTGAGTATTTCCACAATTGTCTCTATAATCTATTCTATTTTGTTATCAAAAATAAAAGAAATGTTTATTATTTATCTATAAATGTTTACTCAACTCCCTCTGCAAGACATTAAAAATGATATTTAAAACATAAATACATTTAAAAAAATAAAAATAAAAACTTCAAAAAATATTTTGTTTTTATTGCATCGTTAAATTTTTTTATTGAAAATATTTCTTTGATTATCAATTTTTTATTTATTTTTTGATAATTTATTTAAATTATGAAATTCGGCTATAAAACATGGGAATTTATTTTTGGTTTAAATTTAGTAGATTTTGGTTATTACATGTTTATGTCGGTTGTTTTTGTTGTTGTATGTCTATTTTGTAATGGATTTATGTATTTGTAACTTTCAAGCAGGTATCTCTTTTTACAGCTCATTCTCTATAATTTGTAGGTACTCTTTTTTGAAATATATATAGATCATTATAATGTAATTTTTATGTATTGTTTTTTATTTTGGGAAAATATAAATTTCAGAATTTTGTGAGAAAATTTTAGATTTATTTCATGGAATTTTTTGAAACAATTTTGAAATTCATTTATTTTGAAAATGCATTTCTGTTTAATTTTAAATAATATTAGTGAAGCATTCAATAATCACTTGATTCTGGAGGAAATAATATTTTCAGAATTTTGTGGGAAAATTTTAGAATTTTTTCATGCAATTTTTTGAAAAACAAATTGAAATTAATTTTTTTTTTTGAAAATGCATTTCTGTTTAATTTTAAATCATTTAATTGAATCATCCAATATTCACTTGATTCTTTGTTGTATTATTGTGAATTGTTGCTCTTACAAAAGTAAAGCATACTTTTAGGCTCCATAAAGTAACGGCACGGAAATAAAGTACAACCGAATAATGGCGCAATAATTGTTTATTCCATGAACCGAACATTTCATTATTATAAACTAACTTACCAGGAATTGTATAAATTGAAGTATACCTTAAGGCGTACTGTAAATTTGTTTGTTGAATAGAAAATGAAGAGAGAAGATCATACATCCCATGATATTCTGTTGGGAATTCTAATAGTTTTTCGAATTTGCAAATAACTTTCTTAATTTTGTTATTGAAAATAATCACAGTTTTCTTAAAAACAGCCAAACATAGTAGCTTTTATTTCGCCTTAATTTTCTTTTGACAATACAAAGCAACCCCATTTACAATGACATTTTGATTGAACAAATACAAAAAAAAAAAAAAAACAAAGAATAGATGCTTCCTAGTGAATATGTTTTAGACATTTTGAAAAGTCACATAGTTTCATAGATATGTGGGCACTAGAAGAGGATGACACTAGTTTCGAAAGAATCTGAATAATTCACATTTCAAATACTTAAAACTCTGACAGTATGCCGGCTCTGATTCTAGGACAATTTTTTGACAATTCGAAATATATTTCAAAGTGGAGTCTTCGGATTTCTGTTAAAAATTTGAATATTTTTAACTAGGTTTCTTATTCAGGTGTCGTTAAGTTAAACAGAAGTAACAAATTTGAAATTACAACAATTAACAATAATGTTACAACAATAAAAACTGGTCTAAAATCGTAATTTTAGTTTCTTTAAACCCGCCCAGCTCTGGGTTTCTTTATGAATTTTCAATTCAATTTTCAATTGTCGTTAAAAATAATTTTATTGGGAAAAAATGTTTCCTTCGAACGGAAATGTTTCCTCATTTTCTGAGAAAGAGAGAACACATTTTACCCTTTTATGTGCTTTCTTATGTAAGACTGATGCCGTCTAGATGTAGCTGCAGATTGGGTTTATTCTATTCTGTCAAAAAATCTTTTATAACATATTTGTATATTTTTTCGAATTTCTATAAAAATACATTTGATTCATTTCATTGGCCGTTTGAAGGCCATAATTCGTGCCAAAGGTGATCAATTCGAACATCTCGAAACTTATTCTAAAATTTGATGCTATTTCGACATCTTTTGCTTTTATTCAATAAAATGTAAAAATTGTGGCGTTTGTTGTCGTTTTTTCATCTCACCCTGTACAATGTACAACAATATCGACGTGTAGAGGTCGCTCAAAAGACGAAGGTTTTTAGTTTTGTAGTTTTGTTTTTTTACATGCAACAATCTACCGGGAGGAAATAGAACACGTAGATGATGCTCAGGTGGTCATAAGTTTTATCAATAGCTGATCTATGATATAGTAGTGGCAGCAAAGCAATCGAATATCGTGAAAAATGTTGACAATGAGTTCTTCTATCTTCATATGGTATTAGCTATTCAAAATAATCCGGTAAATCAATGAGTGTGTAAAAACTCGACGTCTAGATGGTGACTATGTACTATTGTAAAGCACTTCCTTGTTGCAAATACTAAAATGTCGACGTGGAGATGGCGCCCAAAGCGTGGTTTCTTTTGGTGTGACAATCTAAAAATTTTACATTTCTGGAGTCACAAATTAAATTCCGAACTTTTTTTGTTATAATGATAAGCATGCAGATGACGCTCAACAATAGATCTCAGATTAACAATTTGAATTATTGCAGAAGAAGCCAAGTTAAAGATAAATCGAGAAATAGACCTCTGTCGAGAAACATAAGAGTAAAAAGTATGATTGCGAAATTTGAGTGTAACAAGGTCTTATTTCTCAAACAGGTTAAAAAAATATTGACGTCTAAAAAGAGTGGAGAGTAAATTTCTTGTAAAACTTGTACTCCTCGCGTACCCTCAATCGCGAGTAAAATCGAGCCACTCGGAGCTCTGTATAAAATCCTGTCTCAAAAAGCCTATAGGAGAGACATAAAAGAAAGAAGATTGTTTGAGAAAGGGGTTCGAGAGCAACTAGATTTTGAAGACTACCGAGTAGTAGAGTGAATATAACAAGGGATCAATCGCGAGTAAAATCGAGTAACTTGGAGCTCTGTATAAAACCCAGGCTCAAAAAGCCTTTAGGAGAGACATAAAAGAAAGAAGATTGTTTGAGAAAGGTGTTCGAGAGAAACTAGATTTCGAGGAGTAGCGTAGTGGATCGAATCATGGCCTTTGTAAGTAAGAGTTAAAAAAGAATATTGTAAGAGACATCAAAGAAAGAAGATTGATGGAGAAGAGGAAGGTTAATAAAAAGAGTCGAAGTGAACTGTACTATTCCCGTAACAGAATTTATGACTGCTTCGAATCAGAGAGTTGTCGTTAGTCATAGTTCTAGAGTCGCGTAAGAAAATCACCAAAAAGAATATTGGTCGAGAAGAAGAGTTAGAAGAATAGAAGCTGAAAATTATCAGACATTTTAATCAAAAAATTGTCATAGACCTTTGCGAATAACAACTATAACCTGAATATGTATCAAAAATTTTCCCATGCCTTTAAGAATAGAAATGACGATTGGTCGAGAATGTTGAGTTCTTACAAAAATATAAGGCGAATCTAAGGGCTGCGTCGTCGTGTATCTCTGAAACGATCACAGAAATTAAAACTGAATAAAACTAAAGAACCGTCGTGGACCTCTGATAAGAAAGGTGATGGAACCTTTAAAACGTGTCAAAAATTCCTCCAAAAAGGCTTTAAAAATAGACGTGATTTTTGTTTCGGAAATTTTCAGAAAATCGAATTATTAGTTCAATAATGTTATTTTGAGAATAGATTTAAAAATGCATTTTCGAATTTGTATTTTGCAATCAGAAATTCTTTCAACTGCTGTCTGTATTTTATTAAATATATATAACAAATATATATATTTTTTGACTTTTATTATATATAAACTCTGCTTGAATTACTATTTGGTTTTGAATTATATATATGTATACGAATGAACTATGTACAAAGTATGTTTTTGTTAATTATTTTTTTTACTGAATTCTCTTTCTAAAATAATTTGCATTTTTGTTTTTGGAGAAAATAATATTTGACTGAATTGTTGTGACTGGTATTAGAATTTAGTTATTTCATTTATTTTGGTTTTTGTATTAGCAAATTTGTTTGTTTTTTTATTTTGTTTTTGGTTTTAATTAATATTTAGTAATAATAATAATAATTTGTTAATAATAATATTGTTTGTTACTTGTTTTATTTTTTTTTTTTGCTTCTTTGTTCATTAAAGAATGGTCGTTTTTTATGTTAAAGTGTTTGTTTTTTTTATTTATTTATTTATTATATTTTTTATACTTAAAAATTACATAATTTGTTTTTTTAATAATTATAATTTATATTAGGTTTTTTTATTATTGTTTATTTTTTATATAATAATAATAATAGTAAATATTAACTATCAAGTTTTTGTTTTTTTGCTTTAATAATAAATTATTTTTTACTCTGATTTTGTTTTACTTCTCAAGGAGTAATAAAGATTTTTATTATATATATTTTTTATGTGTATATATATATTTGTTTTTTTTATGTTCATGATGACTGTTCTTTGTTAAGTTAAATTTAACAAATATTTTTATTATTATTATTTTTAATATATTACAAAGGATTTGTGGTTTGAAGATTTTTTGTAGTTTTTTTTGTCATACATTTCATTTTTGTTTTTTTTTCAAAGTTGTTGTTGTTGTTGTTGATTTTTGACTAAATTTAATTTGTGGTATTAAATGCAATTTTCTTGTTTTTTTACTTCTTCAAAAATTTTATTTTTATTATTTTTTTTAATTTCTTAAGATTCATTCATGTTGTTTGTTTTATTTTTTAAGCCGTTTTTTTGTTCTTCTTCTTAGAGTTGTTGTTGTTTTAAACCTTTAAATGTCCTGATTTGTTAGATTAATTTCATTTTTTTATGTTTTGCTTATGTTTTGTATGTTCGTATGTAGATGTATTGAAATGCTCTCAATATTTTCCTTTTTATCTATATATGTTTAATAAAAAGAAAAAATATTTTCTTCGTTTCGTATTCAATGATCCTCTGTGTTGTTGTTGCTTCTGCAGTTTCAAACATGGTATCGCCTTATGAGCCTCAAGATTGATGGTTTTTGGGTAAAGCCTTTTTATCATCATCAGCATCATAGTTTTCATCATCATCATTGTCGCTAATAATCATTAGATTCGTTTTTATCCAATATTAGGTCGCTAAGTGGCAGACATCTGGAAAATTTATTAGAAATTTTGTTAAGGAAATATTAAAATAAAAATCCAAATAAAATCCAGAAAAATATTTATCTTCATCATGTGTGACAAAAGTTTACAGAAAAATGGCTGGAAATGCTTAAAAATATTTTACAATTATTTATATAAGTTTTTAAAGATTTTTATGTTATTCCTTAATTATTTTTTTATCATATTCTGTTTTTGTAATAAAATACAGTTTTTTTTTTAAATTTAATGAATTTTTGCTTCAAGAAAATATTTTACATTTAAGAAATATTTTACATTTTAATATATAAGAAAAATAATTAATTTTTTTAAACTATTTTAATGTAGCATTAATTTTTTACATAAATATTGAGAGTTCTTTACCAAAAAATATTATATTATAATAAATAAAAAAAATATAAACTAATACTGAATAAAACAACCTCATTATTTAGCAAAATGTTAGGAAGTATTGCCTTTGGGTTTTTATTTAATAAAAACTGATTTTTTCCAAAAAAGAAAAAAAAAAAAAGATTCTGAACCACTCTGAGACATGAATGTATCTATCAGTTGTAATTTTATATTTGAAGTTCGTAATGGGTGCTACAGCCTATGACAAAAAATTTCGTAAGCAGGTCCACGTCTTCGTATAGTCCCCATATAACGGTGCCTCCCGATATTCGGTATTTTCATGATTTTAAGGGACATTATTTAATTTAAATTTCATATTTAAAGTTCGAAATAGGTAGTCCACCGCAGGTCCACGTCTTCGAATAGTCCCCATATAACGGTGCCTCCCGATATTCGGTATTTTCATGATTTTAAGGGACATTATTTAATTTAAATTTCATATTTAAAGTTCGAAATGGGTAGTACAGCCTATGACAAACATTTTTGTATGCAGGACCACTTCTTTGTATAACCCCCATATAACGGTAGCTCACAATATTCGGCATTTTGATGATTTCAGCAACATTATTCACCGGAATCGTTTCAAATTTCGTATTGGGAGATCTTAACGGTTACTACAACCTATGGAAAAAAAGTTCGTATGCAGGTCTACGTATTTCATATAACCCGATATTCGATATTTTCATGATTTTAGCAACATTATTTACAGGAATTTGAAGATACCTCCCGATATTTGGTATTTTTATGATTTTAGCGACAGTATTTACCGGAATTATTTTAAATTTCATATTTAAAGTTCGCAATGGGTGCTACAGCCTATGACAAAAAATTTCTTAAGCAGGTCCACGTCTTCGTATAGTCTCCATGTATCAGTTTTCATTTAAGTGGTAGTTTTCGGAAGTTTTTTTGAAAAAATTCAAGTTCCTTCTAAATGGTGGAGGGTATTAAAAGTCCGGCCCGGCCGAAAATAGGTGCTTTTTTACGCGTTTTTAATTGATTGTACCACTATACGATGGAGGATAAATTAAATTTGTCATTCCGTTGGCCATCTGGTGCACAATAAACCTCAAATCGGATAATGATATATATGGGACCTATATACAAATTTGATCAATAATCTGACAGAGGTATTTCTGGGCTCTATTATATATATTGTACCATATATTATTCTTCTTAAATTTGATGTACTTGCTTCTAGACTAAATTAAATCGGATGTGCTAAACTTGAGGTCAGTATTGGCCAATTAACCCGAAATCGGTTGAAGATATATATGGGAGCTATATATAAAAAAGAATCGATTCTCACCATATTACATATTCTCCATAATATAAACAATTTTTATTAAGGATCTCCCGACTGAAATATGTTAAGATTATAAATAATAATATTTCTAGACACAAATCATGGATTTAACAAAAAAATTTCACCGATTGATATTCGTATAAAAATTACATATTGAAGAAGAAATTTTAGGAATATTGAAGAAAATATTTTCAAGGGCCTTCCGACTTAACATCGCTAATTTTGTGCCATTTTTTCAAGGACTCCCTTTCTAAAAATCGTAGATCATTTAAGAACATTTTTGAAAAGTCTTCCTAGACGTAAATGATTAATTAATGAAAAATTTGTACAGGGGCCTCCTAACTAAAAATCGTGGATTTTGAATAACAATTTCCAAGAACCTTCTGATAAAAAATCGTAAAGTTTCTAGGAATATTTTTGAAAAGTCTTTCTCGAAAAAAATTGTGGAATTTGTAGAGTTAATTTTGCGAAATTAATTTGATGAAAAAATTTCAAGAATTTTGAAAAAAACATTTTCAAAAACTTCCCGACTTAAAATCGAAAAATTTTCTAGGACCTTAAAATCGTGAGTCCTCAAGAATATATTTGACAAAGTCTTCCTAGATGAATTTTGGAGGCACATTTGTTCAAGGACCTCCTGACTGAAAATGAAGGATTTTGAAAAATTATTTTTAAGGACATCTTGACTAAAAATCTTGCATTTTTTTAAATGGTCTACGTAGAAAAATATCGTTGAATTTGTAAAAAATAGCTTGAAGAAAAAATTCAATGCCAAGGACCTTCCGACTTAAAATCGTAAATTTTGTAACATATTTTCAAGGATCTCATGACTTAAGTACATCGAGATTTTCAAGGACCTTAAAATTGTGAATTTTGTAAATTTTTTTCGAGGACCTGCTGACGGAAAATATATATATATTTTTCAACAAATATTTTTGAAAAAGTCTTCCTAGACGAAAATCGTAACTTTGGAGGAACACTTGTTCAAGGACTAAAGAACAATTTTCAGAACAATTTCCAAAAACAAGAAAAGTTTTCACAATTTGATGGACAAATTTTCAATTATTTTGAAGAAAATATTTTCGAGGACCTTCGGTCTCAAAATCGTGAATTTTGTAGACATATTTTTCAAGGATCTCGTGCATTTTGAAGAATAAGTTTCAAGGAACTCCCGACCTTAAATGGTAATTTTTGTGGAAAATGTTTTCAAGGACTTCCCGACTTCAAATCGTTGAACTTTTAAAATATTTTTTAAAAAGTATTCTAAGGCTTAAATCGTTAATTTTGAAGAAATTTTGTTCAAGGACCTCCAAATTGAAAATCGTAGATTTTGAAGAAGCTCCCGACATAAAATCGTTAAGTTTCTAAGTCTTTCTAGAATTTGTAGAAAAAATTCAACAGATTGAAGAAAAAGTTTCAAAGTTTTTGAAGAAAACGTTTTTGTGGACCTTCGAACTTAAAATCGTGAATTTTGTAGACATTTTTTTTTCAAGAATCTCTTGGCTGAAAATTGTGGATTTTGAAGAATGATTTTCAAGAACCTCCTGGATTTCATAAACATATTTTAAAAATTGTTTTTCCTTAAAATACGAATTGATGCCCCAAGAATTACAAAGAGGTGGTACCTTGGCGGGTCCTTTTTTAAGGGTAATTTAAGGGGTCCCTCTGCAAATAGTCTGTCGATACCAGAAAGGGAATCAGGAAATTTAACAAATTTTGTCTTGGATATGTAATAACTTGTATGGAAATATAATTTTTTTAATTTTTTTGAAGATAAGAAAAAATATTAACTTTTGAAATATAGCATCTCATATTTTTTATATACATATATACTACATATTTATATAATAAATAATATACAAATAGGTCAAATTTTCTTAAAACTATAAACTTGAAATTATTTTAAATTTTTAAATTTTTAAAATAAAAATTTTGTTTTTTTTTTAAATTTTACACTTCAATATTTTTTAAAATTTTTAAAATTATCTTAATTTTCCAAATATTTATTTTTGTTATTGTTGACTTTTTACAAAATTATTTTCAATTTTGTTTTTTTTTTTTTTTTAAATTTTATCCTTGAAACAAAAGACATTGGTGCTCTATAAACAAGGTGCTCCATGGCTCTAGCTAATACCGGAAAACTTTATAAATAAAAAAATGTTAACTCACGTTATCCTTTCCTTCTTCTGCATTTTCTCTTCATAATAGTTATGTATGTGTTTGAGTTTATAAAAAAGTGTTAAATTCGCTGTTCGTATGTGTGTGTGTGTTGTGTTGTTTCATTGTATGTGTCTGATGTGATGCAGTAAGAATATGGTTGCCATCATTGTAGGATAGATAATTCGTTAGTGTTTCAAGTGGCATAACAACCTTTTATTTGTGATTGTTTGTTGTTGTTGTAGTTGTTGGTGTTTGTTTTCCCGGGAGTGTAGCTGAGTTTACTTACAACGACCCTGTCTGTGTTCTTATCAACATTTATTTGTCATTTCTATTTTCTTTTTCATTGATTTCTTTTCTCATTGATTTTCTTCTTCTTCCGGTATGGCATCACCAGCTAACCAAACACAGGGACGACCCTAGAGATTTGAAAATTTATAAAGAGAATTCAATTAATTTATAAAATTTATTTAATTAGAGGGAGAATAGGAAACTATAACAACTGATTGCGCTTGACTGCTGATCTAAAGTTGCGTCTATTTGAAGGGGACGTCATAACCTTTAAACTCTCCGACTAAAATCTTGAGAATGAATAATACCTAGAGGATGATGTATTAGCACTTGTCGGTTTTCTTTCTTCTAAAGTGGAATTTTAAATATAATTTTATAACTAATTTCTTTTATTACTAATTTATTTATAATTTTAGATGATTTTTAGCATTTCTAGCCATTTTTGTGTCTAATTATTTTTAATTTCTATAATTTTTTAAATTATTTTTTATGGGTTTGATGTTCACATGAATATCTTCCTAGACGATATTTGGAAATTCGATTTGATTAAACATTTAGTGGGAAAAATTTGTCATATAAAATGAATGTTAATGTTAAAATGGTGTTATTAGTGAAAATGTTTTATTAATTAAATGGCACATTAGGTATTGAAGGGTGGGGTTTCGGGGGTTATGAGCAACAACTAATTTTGCATTGATTATCTACAGGGGAATATTAACAAAACTATTGGTAATATTATTTAAATTATTTTAATTATTATGGCGGGAATTGATCAAGCTAAATGAACTATGCAAAAAACTATTGATTGATTGATTAATTTATAAAAAAAATATTGCGTTTCTAAACAAGCTGTGTTCAGTAATACATTGGTTAGATAAACTTTAAAGAGGTGAAAAAAATAAAATTTTTTATAAAACTTAAAATTTTATTTTATAAAATAAATAAAGTAGGAAAGAAGCAAAAATAAAATTAAAATCTAAATTATTTAAGAGATATATATTAGTAGTCCTCTGTGGAGGTGTTTTGAAAGAAATTAATTACATTTTATAACATTTGTTATATTTTGACCTGGTGCTACATTTTTTTTTTAATTATTTCCCAACCCTCAATTGTTAATTTTTTATGATCCGCTCCAGATTTGCGTTCTTTAAGATTTTTTCAGAGACTTCCCGGCTTTATATAAAATGTGAAAATTTTAAGAATATTTTTTCGGACTTCCTAGACAAAAATTGTGGGTTTTGAAGAAAATTGTTCAAGGACCTATGATTGAAAAACGCGAATTTTGCCTTTTACTAAAATTCTTAATTTTTTTTTAGAAAAATTGTTAAAATGTCTGAATTGTCTGGGATTTTTTTTCAGAAAATTTTTGGAAGAGACTTCCTATATATATAATCATGTGTTTTATTGAGAATATTTATGTAAGAACCTCCTGACTGAAAATCTTAAATTTTTGAGAATATTTTATAAGGATCGTCTAAAATAACACCAGATTTTTTAGAATAAATTGTTGAAGAACATTTATTCAGGGATTCAGGGAAACATTTTCAGGACCTCATGACTGATTGATCGTTGATTTCTTTTTTATTATTTACATGGTGTTCTTGGGCAAAAATCGGGGAGAAACATTTTTTAAGAAAATTTAAGATCGTCTCCTTGACAAAAGCAAATAAAAAGTGTGATTTTTGAAAAAATCGTTGAAGAACCTCAGCACGGCAAATCTTGCATTTTTAAAAATATTTTCATAAGGAATTTAATTTAAAGCAAAAAAAAAAAATTAAGGACCTCCCGACAAAAGGTCATAGATTTTGAAGAAGATTTTTCAAGGACCCCCCGATTGAAAATCGTGATCTGTTAAAAGCATTTTTCAAGTTCCTCTTGATTGAAATTTTTGGATGTTTCAAGAACATTTTTGACAAGGTCTCTCTTGTATTGAAAGTAGTAGATTTTGTAAATAGAGTGATAGAGTAAGTAGAGTAAAGTAGATTTTTAAAAATATTTTTGAAGATCTCCTCATTAAAAACGTAATTCTTTTTATGGATATTGTTGAAAATGTCTGAATGTCCCTCAATATTCCATTCGGCATATCGCAATATTGAAAAATGAGTTCGGGGCGAAGCCATTGGAATTCCAAAAAGTGCAAGAACTTACACCGCACCGCAAGAAGAAAATAGACTCAAAAGAGCTAAAGAGTTGCTTCGCTTGGCCGAAAGTGGTGAACTGCCGAATTTGGTTTTCTTCGTGTCCGATTAGAAAACATTTGTTGTCCAGCAGTTTGTGAACAAACAAAATGATCGTGTTTACTTGCCAAAGAGGTCAGCTGAAAATGTGCACCTTCGGTTGGCCACCAGAACTAAAGCGCCGGCCATGGTGATAGTGTGGGCCGCCATAACAGCCGATTATCGCTCTCCGCTCGTATTAATCGATCGTGGCATCAGAATAAATGCCGAATATTATCTCGAAAATATTCTAGAGGGTGTATTAAAGCCTTGGGAACGCAAACATTTTGGCCTCAGACCTTGGACATTCCAACAGGACTCAGAATCTTCCCAAGAATGGTTACAAAATGAGGTTTCTCGCTTCATTTCCTGCGCACAATGGCCACCAAAATCCCCGGATACCAATCCGCTGGACTATTTTGTCTGGAGTATTTTGGAAGCAAGGTTGACACGTACCGACCAATACCGAAGTGTCGATCACCTCAAGCAAGCGTTTCGTCGGGAATGGGCCAAAATACCGCAGAGCAATATTTGGGCAGCGTGTGACGGTTTCATTGGCCATAATTCGTGCCAAAGGTGACCAATTCGAACAAATCTAAACTTATTCAAAAATTTGATGCTATTTTCGACATTTTTTGTTGTCATTCAATAAAATGTAGAAAAAAAAATTAATTAAAAATGATGGCGTTTGACTCTGTTGCAGTTTTTTATATATCACCCTGTATATTATTGATCAGCATGTGAAAATCACTCTAGCTTCTGAAAGAATTGAAGTAGGTTGATAAAATTTTAGTTAAATATGGGTTTGGTCTGCAGACTTTTTGGCATTGAAAATGGGCTATATAGGTCCACGTTTAGGTATATACCCCATATAACTGAACCTCCTTATATAATTTATTTTGATGATTTTAGCGACATTGTTCATCGGAATTGTTTCGTAATAAATTTCGTAATAAGAGTTCGTAATGCTACTACAGCCTATCTATGAAGGCCCAGGACTTCATATAGCCCCATATATCGGTACCTCCCAATATTCGATATTTTGATGATTTTAGCTATATTATTCACCGGAATGGTTTCATATATCGTATTTAGTTTTTTAAAAGGGACTACAGCCTGTGACCATTAATTGCCTATGCAGCCAGATCTTCGTATGGCACCTATATATGTAGTGGTAACTCCCTTTATTCGGTATTTTGATAATTTTACCTACATGTTACACCAGGATTGTTTCAAAGTTCTTTTATGAAGTTCCTAATGTGTACCACAGTCTATGACATAAAATTGTCCATGCAGATTCAGGTCTTCGTATAACTTCCATATAACAGTATTTTGACCATTTTAGAGACATCACCGGAATTGTTGCAAATTTCGTATTTCCACTTCTTAATGGGTACTACATCCTGTGACAGAAAATTGGCTAGGACAGGTCTACGTCTTTGTATAGCTCCCATATGTTTTGATGTTTTTGTGACATAATTCATCGGAATTGTTTCGAGTTTCATATTTGGTCTATGACAAAAATTGCCTATGCACATTCATGTTTTCGTATGGATCCCAATATAACGTTATCCTCCTATATTCTGTATTTTTAAAATTTAAACTGCATTTTTGATGTTTTTTTTTTTTTTTTTTTTTGTAAATTTCCAAATTCATCCCAAATGGTAGAGGGTACTCAAAATTCGCCCTGGTCGAACTTAATGATTTTTATCTAAAATTCTGCAAATTGTTAGAATTTTTTGGAAATTCTGGATTACATTAACTGGTAAGAGCTTCAGCTTTGAAATTTTGGATGTGGCTCACCCACTATGAGCGGGGTTGATATATGGAGAGATTTTTGAAAAAAAAAATATATAATAAATTATAAAATAACGAAAAATTTAAATGTCGATTTAAGCATGCATTGAGCAAATAATTACAAAATTATTAACAAAGTTAATTTTTTTATCCAAACTTGCTTGGAATCACAGAACAATATTTACAATTTTCGAATAGAAAATAAAATTAATTTTGAATACATAAAAAATCTTAAAATTCAATACGATTACAGTGAGAACAAGTAGAGAAGTAGGTAAGAAGAAAAAAGGTGAAGAAACATACCTAAAATGTACTACGTTGTATGTAGATGGATTTTTTATTTTTGAATTTTTGAATATTTGTTTTTCAAATTTTTTCTAGCTAGGATTTTTTTTTCAAATGCCAAAATATGTAGCTTTTTTTGTTGTAGTTGGTGGATGGTAGTTGTTGTTGGTAGTAAATAACAAGGTGAGGATTATGGAAAATACTTTCAAAATCTTTTCAAACTATATATTTATATGTAAATAGGCGCTTTGGTTTTTTGGTATTGGTTACGTTTTTTTTCTAATATATGTATATATAAGTGTGTGTGTGTGAGGATATACAACTTGGTAGGCATGTACATGTGTTGGTAAGTAACTTGAACAGTAACGCAATTCTAAGGTTGTGTAAAGTAGGAATAACTTGTTGTTGGAATCAAACTACTTTTCTTTGTTTTTGTTGTTGTTGTATATATAAATAGGTAAGTGTTTTTGTTGTTTTTAACTTCTTCTTTACTTTACTCAATGCAAATAACATGGGTGTGTGAATTATTTTATTTGGAAAAGAAAATATATTCAACAATGGTTTGTTCTTTTTCTAGTTTATGCCATATGCGTTTGGTGATCTCTGGTTTTTTTTAGGGGGTTAGTGTATGAGGAGGTTGGTGGTGGTGGTGGCACTAGCGTGTTATGTTTGTTTGTTCGATGTAGAGGGGGGTTTTGGTTGTCTAATTAATTTTTTTTTTCGTTTTTTTTCTTTGTTTATTAAAACTTTAAATTAAGTGATTCAAGCGATGCTAGTGATGAGCGCCTAGATAAACCTGTATTGGCAGGACAACTGACCAGTGAGGTGGTGCCGAATAGTTTGTACCAGCCAATCACAATGCCATTGGAGAGATCGATATGATCGAGCATTATTTGGGCCACGCCCATAAAGACTTTCTTTTCGATGCGGCCATAGTCGCCCCAAACGGTAACCTGAAAGAGAAAAATAAAGGAGAAGAAGTTAGAAGGTGGAGGATCAAGGGGGGTAAGAAAGAGGTTTTCCATGGAGAGAAGAAATGTCTTCTATAGAGAGGAGACCTGTTGAAGGTTTTCTACAGAGAGAAAATCTTATGAAAACGTTCTGCAGGTCTTCTATCGGCAGAAGACCTCCAGAAGGTCTTCTATGGACATAAGACGTTCTGCAGGTCTTCTATAGACAGAATACGTTCTGCAGGTCTTCTATAGGCAGAAGACGTCCTGAAGGTCTTCTATAGACAGAAGACCTGCTGTAGGTCTTCTATAGACAGAAGACCTGCTGTAGGTCTTCTATAGACAGAAGACCTGCTGTAGGTCTTCTATAGACAGAAGACCTGCTGTAGGTCTTCTATAGACAGAAGACCTGCTGCAGGTCTTCTATAGACAGAAGACCTGCTGCAGGTCTTCTATAGACAGAACACCTGCTGCAGGTCTTCTATAAACAGAAGACCTGCTGCAGGTCTTCTATGGACAGAAGACCTCCTGCAGGTCTTCTATAGACAGAAGACCTCCTGCAGGTCTTCTATAGACAGAAGACCTCCTGCAGGTCTTCTATAGACAGAAGATCTCCTGCAGGTCTTCTATAGACTGAAGACCTCCTGCAGGTCTTCTATAGACTGAAGACCTCCTGCAAGTCTTCTATAGACTGAAGACCTCCTGCATGTATTCTATAGACAGAAGACCTCCTGCAGGTCTTCTATAGACAGAAGACCTCCTGCAGGTCTGCTATAGACAGAAGACCTCCTGCAGGTCTTCTATAGACAGAAGACCTCCTGCAGATCTTCTATAGACAGAAGACCTCCTGCAGGTCTTCTATAGACAGAAGACCTCCTGCAGGTCTTCTATAACCAGAAGACCTTCTGAAGGTCTTCTATAGACAAAATGCCTCCTGAAGGTCTTCTATGGACCGAAGATCGCGAGAGGGTCATCAATAGACAGAAGACCTCCTGAAGGTCTTCTATGGACAGAAGTCCTCCTGCAGGTCTTCTATAGACAGGAGACCCTCTGAAGGTCTTCTGTAGACAGAAGACCTCCTGAAGGTCTTCTATAGACAAAATGCCTTCTGAAGGTCTTCTATGGACAGAAGGCCTCCTGCAGGTCTTCTATAATCAGAAGACCTCCTGCAGGTCTTCTATAATCAGAAGACCTCCTGTAGGTCTTCTATAGACAGAAGACCTCCTGAAGGTCTACTATAGACAGAAGACTTCCTGCAGGTCTTCTCAAGACAGAAGACCTCCTGGAAGTCTTCTAAAGACAGAAGACCTCCTGACGGTCTTCTATAGACAGGAGATCTCTCAGGAGACCCCCTGCAGTCCTTCTATAGTCAAAATTTCTAGAAGTTTTTTTCTTCGATCTTTAAAGGTCTATCGGGATAGCTTACCTGTAATATACAGCCTTTGGTATTGCAATTCTGGAACACCAATTGCTGTTGATACAATGGCTCCAGCGTTCGGCGAGCCGTGGAAGTTTTCATTTTGTCCATGCATTTTTTACCCGAAACCAAGTACACTTTGACATAGGGGGCTGGTAGCATTTTCGAGGTGGGTTTTTGCTGAAAGAAAAAGAGGTTCACATTTTAATTTCCGTAGGAAAATTTATCGCTCTGCCACTCACCTGTAAACCTCTTGCTCTAATGACCTCTACTTCTAGGCAATTTTTCTGATAGCACAGCGATAGTTGGATATCGCCCAACGAGGGGGCACCCAGCACCTGGCGGCCAACCAATTGGCCCGGTCCAAGACCTTCGACAAATTGATTGATTTGTTCATCTGCTCTCATGGTGGGAGAGAATCTGTTTTCCGCAAATTGTTGTTTTTGTTGTTTGTTAAAATAAAAAGAATATATTAGTAATTATTCAAAATTAATTTTTGTTAAATAAAAAAAAAATAATAATCTCGGAAAGTTAAGAGAAAGTAAAATAATATATATATATATCAACTGAAACTCATATATATATATGAGAAAAATAACTTTGTATTATACACAGGGAGATATAGTAGGCAATTTCAAGTTAAGATTTTTTTTTTTGGATTTGAAAAAAAAAATATTGTTTATATATTTTTTTATTTTGACAATATTCCTTTTATGTTGTTGCATTAACGTGCATTATTTCTGTTGCATTGTGTAATATTTTTTGATTTTTTTGCAATATTTTTTACAACATGCTTTGTAGTATTTACAACCAGGCCTTTACACCAAGAGAGTAAAAGAGAATGTTGTTTTCCATTGAAGGCTTAAGAGAAGTTCTCAACACACGCACATAGTTACACCCTAGAAGAAAAGTTCGTTCAAATGACAAAAAATTTGCAATGAGACATGAATGGGAAGCGATGTGAAAAAGAAAAATGATTTTAGAAATAAATAAACAAGTTGATAAAATTATTTGTTGAAAACAGCAGATGTCCTGGTAATACTCTAGTTCATAACATTATGAAATCTTAAAAAAATGAATATCTTTTCCATAGAGAGCGAATCACGCTCCTTCTGAACATGACATGAGACCACTTGGGAATTTGGGCGAGGCTTAAGATTTTCTTCATCCGGGGTATTTCTAACAAGGGCTATGAGACCTAACGTTTTTTATATTTAGAACATCATTCAGTGAACTAAACAGAACTAGGTTTAGAGGATCCGAAGATTCATATCTCTGGTTCCAAGAAATATTACAACACACATTGTAGCATTTTGAGAGGGTTATAGTGTGAACTCCTTTAAAAAAGTCCAAGTCCAAAAATTCGATTATTTTGCTACAACAAGTCATCATCATAAGTTTCAAAAGGGTAAAATAGGGTAAAAAAAACTAAACTAGTGATAAGCTGCTAAAAATCTAGAGATATTGAGTGGTAGAGGAAATCTAGGACTTTAATAAAAAATTTATGATAATTTTTAAAGGATTTTTATGGAAATATCCAACAATTTTTAGAAGGAGTCCAAAAATACCATTTATTTGTTAAACAATTTTTAAATTTATAACGGAACTTATGTGACATTCTACTAGGCTTTTGATTTTCATTTCAAGGCATTTTCATGGAACACTTCGTGGAGTTATACCTTTGTGATGGATATTCAGAGGATATCCATAGGGGTTTAATTGTAGACTTTTGAATAGACTTTACTATTCCACAAATCTTTAATTATGGAGTTTATATGTGATTTTCGTGAAAGTCTGTAAGATTTTCAAAGGAGTTTGGAGGGATTATATATTCAAGGATACATTTTTATACCAATTTTGGAGAAAGTCTTAAACACCTAAATTTTTAATTTTTAATGAAGTTATTGACAAAAATATTTTACTTCCAATTTACACTGTCTCAATTATAGATTTTCGAGTTATTGCGAAAAATATATATAAAAATATAAAAAATCACTGCAAGTCTTAATTTCAGATTCTTTACGAAGTTTGGAAGGAAGTCTACACTATCTAAATTTTCTAAGAAAAATTCGATGGATTCTTGATCAGAATATTCTTTAAGAATTTTCGAAGGAATTATGGAGGAATTTTAAGGAATTATGCAGACTTTTAAAAAATTTCTCAGTAACTTCATAAAAATTTAAAAATCAGACATTGGAGACTTTCACCAACTGTGGTTGATACAACATCTCTTTGAAATCTAAGTGGAACAAAATCATTAAAGAATTTCTGTTTGAAAACTAGTAGACTATTAAATTTCGTAATTACACAGTGTAGACATCCTTGTTAACTTGGGAATTTTTTTAAATTCATTACTATGGTCTCAATATTTCTTAAAATCCTGATTTGGAGAATTTGAGATTAATTCTTAAATTTAAGAAAAAAATATTAAATTCTCCAATCGTAGTCCACTTGACTCTTAGGTTTCAAAGAGATGTTGCATCAAAGACTGATCTTTGATTTTAATATGAAGTTACTGAAAAAACTCTACAAAAGTTATTTCCGAAAAATTTCCGAAAAGGAAGTCTACAGGGCCTGAAATTAATATCTCTTAGTATTCGGAAATATGGTTAAAAATATTCTAAAAATCTTCGCCAACGGTTAGCTTGTGGATTTGTTTGGGGTGTTTTGAAGGAAGTTTTTAAAAATAATTTTTGGAAATCTAGAAAGCCAAAATATTTTGAGAAATGTTCAATGGATTCTGGACAATGGAAATGGATAAGCCTACGGTTGCAGCTTTATCTACTCTCTTCTGGATATCTTTAAAAATCCCCAATAAAAATTGGAGGCTTACTCTAAATTGGTTTAAGACCTTATAGACTTCCTCGAAATTTCCCCAAGATCTCCACTATTTACTTCTATTTCTAAAGGAAGTCAGTAAATTTGATTTTTTTCTGAAATTTTGGCAAGGATTTTTAACTTAAATTTATTAGTTTTTATTAAAATCTTACTAATAGTGGATTTTGTGACGAATTTTCAGAAACTCCACAAGGACTTATTTATGGATTGTTTAAGGATTTTTGGAGAAAATCAACAAGGTCTTAATTGGAGACTTCAAAGATGTCTGCAAAGCCGTCATAGTGGATTTTTTAACAGGCTTTTTGAGAAGGTTGTGAGCCAAACATCACATAGGATTGTAAAAAATGCTCTAGGCTACTTGAGTTAATTAGCTTTTAGGTGTTTTGGAAATAGTCTACAAGGAATAAGGGGTTTTTAAAGAAGTTTAGAAAAGTCCATAAGCCCTCAATCCTAGAGTCCACAAGACTTTTGTTGTATATTTTATAAGGAATTTTTGAGGAGGTCTACATGGCCTTGTTTTAGGAATTTTTAAGGAGTTTCAAGGTAATAATCCTATTTTTGAAGGACTTTTAAAGAGAATCCCAAAGGCCCTAATTTTTATGAATTATCTAGAAAGTCGACATGGTATTCTTTGTAAGAAATTTTGAAGGAGGTAAAAAGGCTTTAGTGGTATTTTAAGAAATTTTGAAATTTTAAAGGATTTATGGATATATCCTAAAAGGTTCCAATTTGGACTTTTTTTAGAGAATTTTTGAGAAGATCCGGGGCTTCAAATAGAAACTTCACGGGCAAGTCTCCATTTCCAAATCGTTGATTATCATGCATTTGGGACAAGTCTCCAACCCTTAATCGCTGTTTATAATACAAATTTTTTTGAAGAATGTTAGGCATAATTATTGATTATATAAAGGATTTTTGACAGAGTTCACAAGATTTTAGTCCAATAATATTTAAAGAATTCTGAAGGATGTCTAGAAGGCTTTAGTTTTGAAATTTTAAGAATTTTGGATTGAGTCTCATTTTCATTTGGGAGGAATTGAAGTAGACACCCTTCAAGATTTTAGCTTTAAATATTTAAAGAATTTTTGAGGGAGTCCTATTTTCATATGGGAGGCATTGAAGTAGACACCCTTCAAGGATTTAGTTTTAGTTTTAAATTTTTTTAAAATTTTTAAATTTTAAAAGGAATCTAATTTTCATTTTAAAGAATTGGCAAGATTTTGAAGGGAGTATAAGTTTTATTTGGACTATTTTTAGAAACTTTGAGGGGCGGCCATAATGTTGTATGTTTATAGAGTATCTCTAAAAGGCCTTAGTCGTGGATTTCTTTGGGAGTTTTGGAGAAATTTAAAGGGAAATTCCAGACCTAATGTGATGTATGTTTTGGTAAAATTTTTAAACTTTTCTTCAATATTTAAAAAAGACTTAAATTATCCAAAGCCTTAAGAGCAATTTTCAAATAATGACCCAAATATTGCTGTAAACTCATTTTAGTTTCGTTTTCGTTAAAAATCTTTCAAGCTATCATATAAACTCAGGCCTTAAAAAAATAAATTTAAATTTAATTTAAGAAAATATATATATATAGTTTTTGAATTGTATTGTTCTAATACTTCTTAAAATATGACCCATATGAAATAATTCAGATTCAAAAATTAGGTGGTTGGTAGGTATGTATGTACAAGTGATTATGGAAAAGATGTGAATGTCAATGTTTTCTAAATAATAATAAATTAAAAAACACTAAAATAAACTACGACAATAACTAAAATGACAATACCAAAAAAGGACAAAAAAGAAAAACAGAAACTCATATTTTTCCATTCATTACAGAGTTATAGGAAAAAAAAACAACTAAAAAGAAAATTGAATTGAATTTGCAAATTTTATGGGAAGCATTAATTACGTACACGCACACACACACACACACACAACAACAACAATTATAGATGTAAGCAAACAATTTCGAAAAATTCGAATATACAGTTTCGAACAGAAAAAAATACATTTAGAGAGAAGAGAGCAAAATGTAGAGGAAAACACACGGAGAGAGAGAAAGGAAATACAGAGAACCATAGACAGCTTAAAAAAAACAGGTCTTGGGATTTCCCAAAATGGAAAATACAAGGATCGGCTTGCACACAAATCATAAATAAAAAAAATAAAATTCATTTTAATTTAACAAAAGTTTATATATTTTTGCTATAAATACAAAGTGGACATTGAATTTGCAGCCAACTTCGCTTTGTTATTGTTTTGGTTTTATTCATTATGTTACACACACACACACATCGATTGGCAAGTCAAATGTTTTTTGGGTAGCATCTTTCAGGAGAACAACATTGACAGATAGTGGCATTTATAGAGAAAAAGTAGAGATAGCGGAAATAATGGTAGCAAATAGACAGAGAGAGAAAGATAGAGAGAGAGGGAGAACTTGTTTCTTTGCGCAAAGCTCTCTGCTTAAAAGGTAGTTATGTTTTCTTTTAAAGCTTTTTTGTTTTGGTTTTTTTCTTTTTTTGGAGGAAAACTTACGATGAGCCTTCCGAGCTTGAGATCGAATGTATACTACCGGCGCGATATTGCATTACAGATGATGATGGCGGCACCTCAACCGATCTTTGTATACTACCAGCCGAACCACGCGACTGACGCTGATAATGAAGTGGATGCAGTTGATGATAATGATGTTGTTGTTGTTGTGGCTGTGGTTGTTGTTGATGTGACATAGAAGTGGCTGTGGTGTTCGAAGTTGAGGTGTTGCTGTTATTGTTGGTTGTGGTGGTGGTGGTGCTACAATCACGTGCCTGATTTTGGTCTGTTCCAATAAATGAAATAAACAACAACAGAAAAAAAAAACAAAACGGAAAAAGAAAAGAAACACACAATAAGGCGAATTTCGATAATTGATTATGCTCTCAATCGTTCAAAAGACAAGCGAGGTAACGAAGGTGGGGAATTGTTATTTTTTTTCGTTGTATTTTGTTGTACCTAAATTGTTTTCAAAAAATTGTGTTTTCAGTGAAATATATTTTTTTTACCAAGGTCAGGGCAGAGAATCTCGTTTCCAGTTACCAATATTTCTAAATGAAACCTACACCATCATCATAAGGTAACCCAGCGAACTTTGCGGACGAAATTTTTTTTTTGTTTTTTTTTTTTTTTTAATTCTGTAGTAATCTTACATTAAAAATACCATCCAAAAATCTTCCTAAGACTGAAGGCCTTTTCAATATTTACTAGAGACACCCTATACGTTCTATATATGGAAGATCTTCCGGATATTTTCTATAGATGGATGTGTTCTCCGGACTAAAGACCTTCTATAGGCTGGAGACATTCTGCAGCTCGGTTGTGTATTGAAGACTTTTGCAGGCTTTCGATAAACATTACATGTATTTTATGAATAGGTAACCTCCTTGCGATTCCTATTAGTAAAAATATATTAGTACTTCATTAGACCGGGGACCTCTTGAAAGTATGTTGCAGGCCTTCTACTTTGTGGAAGCTTTCTATAGACAGAATGACCTCAGGTATTTTCTTTAGATAAGGGACCTTTTAGGGGTCTTTTTCAGTCAGAATAGGCAGAAAGCCATCTGGGCTTTATTGACAAAAGGAAGACCTTTAGGATCTCCTGCAGACAGACCTCCTAGGAAATTAGACCATTCATAAACAAAATCCAAACTGGAGGTCTTCTTTAGACATAATACCTTCTAGTCGCCTTCTATAACCATTTTACGGATGTTTTTGAGAACCAAAATCGGGGATTTTTTCAATGGTTTTTAAGAGACCAATAAACCTGAAGTTTTTTTTTGTATTCATGAGAGGATTTTTTAACAATTCAGAAGAGGTCATACAAACATGGATTTTTATACATTTTTTGTGAGGAACCAAACTTTTTTTCAAGGGGACCCATACGTCGAAGTTTTTGGATTTTTGCCAGAACATAAACTTGGGTTTTACGATTTTTTTGCATCTTCCGTAAAATGAAGACATTCAGATTGTCGTCCTGACTTATTTTTAAGGAAAGGTTCACGGTCGGTTTTTAAATAAAATTCTGGTAGGATTTTGAGAACTTCAAGCTGGTTCTTTCGGGGCATTTGGGTGGTGCACAAGAGTACGTTTTGTAGGGAGAAACACAAATGTGTTTTTAAAGTGTTTTGGAGAGAACTGAAAACGTCATTATTTTCAGGATTCATAAGGGGATATAGGAGATTACAACTTAGATTTTTTTTCAAAATTTTTGCAAAGGTCTAAACATGGACGATTTATGGATTTTAAGTTTTCCCATGTTTGAAGGTCTCTGAGGTGGATTTTTGGTATTTTTTTCTGGACCCAAACGTGATATTTTCAGGTTTTTGAAAGGACTTAAACATGGATCGTTAAGGAATTTAAAAGAGACCGAAACGTCAATTTTAAGCGATTTTTGGTGGTATCCAACTTTGGTTAAAGGTTTATTGGATGATGCCAAACTAGAATTTTAAAGGATTCTTGTGAGGAGTACAAACGAGTATTTTTGGCAGGGAAAAAAAGTTGATTTTTTTAAGATTTTTGGCTGAACCTATAATACGATTTTCAGGATTTTTGGCAGGATCCAAATTATTTTTCAGGGATTTTTGAAAGACCAAAGATGATTTTCTTCAGGATTATTCTGTGAGGATCGAGCATAGACTTTTTAAAGATTTTATGGGAGACACATTCATGGGTTTTGTTCAGGATTTTAGGCAGAATCAAAACAGGGGTTTTTAAGGACAACTAACAAGGAATTTTTAGATTTTTTGCGATTTTGGATCAAAACTTTGTATTTTATGGACAAATGAGAGAAACCAAACGTGAATTTTTAATAATTTTTCGAAACGCCTAGAGATGGATTTTTAATTTTTTTCAGGCCTTTTATTGAGATATTATTTTGGTATTTTTGGCAGGACCAAAGTTTTGTTCTTATTGATTTTTAGGAAGGCCCAATTTTTGTGAGAATCCAAATGTGGATTTTTATAAGGATTTTAAGGGGTCCTAACAGTCAAAGGTTCACAATTTTTAGCTGTAACCAAACTTGGGTTGTTAAGGATTTTTTTCAATCAATAACCTTGAACTTTTCCAGAATTTTTGTGACAGCACACAAAAGTGGATGTTTTCAGGACTTTTAGCAGGACATGAATAAAATTAGGTATTAGAATTTTTTACGATTTTTTACAACTATCACATTTAATTTTTTTTTTTCAAATTTTTGTAAGGATAAAAATATTTTTTGGGGTCCAAAATTTTGGATTTCTAAGGAGTTGGGACCTAAATCATAATTTTTGCAGGATTTTTGGCCGAGATCTAACTTATTTTTAACAATGTTTATGAAGACCCAAACTTGGATTAAGGAGCTATAGAGGAATCCAAAGGATTACCAAACAGGTTTTTAAGGTTTTTTTGGAGAACCAAACTTTAATTTTTCCCAAATCTCATCGGGATGAATTTTTCAAAGAATGTGTGAAAGGATTTTTAAGGATACAGGAGACGATTCTGAACTGGATTTTTCGGGAATTTTGGTTGGGCCAAATTATTATTATTTTTTTCCGAATTTTGACAGGACCTAAATGAAGATTTTTTTTGGTACTTTTGATAGGGCTCGAACTTGTTTGTATAGTGTTTTTTTAGGATTTTTGTCATGACATAAATTAAGATATATTAGGGTTTTTGTCAAGATTTGGATATATTAAGGATCGAACTTGATATTTTCAGATTTTTTTTCAACGGAGAATTTTTTAAAATGTTTGAGAGAAAACTGTATATATTTTAATAATTTAGGAAAGGATGTTGATTTTTCAGGATTTTGGCGGAAGTCAACAAATTTTTTTCAGGATTTTTCGCAGGATTTTGTTAAGGATTTTTTTACGAAGACTATCAGAAGACCTCCTTTGGATTGAAATTTACCGAAGCCCAAATTCAGTGGAGGACTTGTTTGAGGCCTTCTACGGTTTAGAAGTCTTCCATAGATTGTAAAAGTCCGTAAAATCAGTTGCACGTGGCTTATGGTTTAAAAACTCTTTTTGGGTATTCTATGTGTTAAAATTCAAAACTATTAAAATTTAGTTGTAGCGTTTATATTTACACTTGAATTTTAAATTTTCTATAATAAAAAGACCGCATATAAGTTCTTAAACCTCCTTTGAAATGAATAGATTTTGAAAGACTCATTTTCTTCGAACACGTACAAATTTAGGGAATGGGGCTATCCTTTTCTCCGGAATAAGACAAATGTTGATGATGGTGTTCGGTTTCATCCCACAAGTCGAACAAGGCCGACCACACTATCCATTCGTAAAAATATCTCTATTCACACCAGGTATATATATGGCAGCCGTTATATTATATATAAAAAAACAAAACATATAAATCTATATACAAATATTAGAAGTAGCTATACAAAGCATCTAAACCAAACCAAAATAAAATATTTAGAAAACAGAAAATAACAAAGCTTTTTTTTCATAACAACAATTAACAAATGAAAAACACAAACAATAATAAACAAAGAAAAGACAAGGCAACTCAATGGCAAAAAGGCATTTGTGAAAAAAATTGTATGGTATTTTATTTTGAAATGATTGTGATTTTATTTAAAATTTATTAAATTGTATTTATTTATTAAATTTTTTATTTATTAAAAAAACAAAATTCAGTACATATAATATGGTGTTGTAACATACGATACGGTTAAACCTTAGTTTCGAAAATTATCCTTTCATGTAGATGCCAATTGTGAATGTCTAAGGTCTTCCCATGGCGTTTTTTTTTTTTGAAATATTGTGGCAAACATTACTTTTGTAAATTATTTTAAAGTTATTTTGAATAAAAATCCTATATCTCCCTGTTGTTGTTGGTTTTTTTTATTTATTTGAAAAAGATAATGTAACATAGGGTTTTTGAATTGTGTTGTTGTTGTTGTTTTAATTGAATTGCAATAAAGATGATAAACATTAGACAAATGCTTGATTTAATTACTATGGCATGCATTTTTATAATGTTGTAATGAACGAAAGATATGCTTTATTTCATTAATTCCATGTTAGGAAAATTTGTTAATGGCGTTGAGTAAAAAATATCTGATATTATGATATCAGACCAAAATAGATTCAATAATGTTTACCTTTTCGATTTAGTTATAAATTATGTTTTAGTTTTAATATTCTGGCAAAGGGAAATCAATAATTCTAGCTCAAACAAAATAACCAGGACTGAAACTGAGCATTCGTAATATCTAATATGTAGATCAGTAAATATGAAATAAATTCGGTAGCTTTTTAATAGAAGTCGAAATCAATTTCAAATGGAAAAAAACCTAAAAAAAATGTGGAGCTGAAGTATTTTAGACAGTATTCTTAAAAATATTTTATGCCCAGAAATTGTATGGGGTGTATCTAAAATCAGCGATTGATGAGACCTCTAATCTACAATTCTAGCTTATTTTATATAAAATAATTTTCAAATGATTACCAAGCTATACATTTTCGCATATCGTCGGTGTTATGCTGAAGTATTCTATACGACATTTGCCTATTTGAAAAAAACGGATTTTAATATTCTCATCATGAACTGCATATTAGTAAAAATTTATGGAGATTTATTATGATCTTTTTTTTTTTTTCATTTATATCCATACAATTTTAAAATACTGTGACTTACGCGGAACAAATATACTAAATTTTAATACCCTACAACACTATGTGTTTGGGGTATTATAAGTTGATTGGGCCAAAATTATGTAACACCTCGAAATATTGGTTTCCCACATAGGAAAGTATATATGGATCTTCCTATATCGCCGAGATGAGTCGATCTAGCTATGTATGTCCGTCCGTCTGTCCATGTTAATTTGTAATCACTCTACAGGTCGCATTTATGGCCCGATCCTTACGAAATTGAA